CATTCTACTATTATTTTAATTTTGGCTTTATAATAATAAATAATAATTAAATAATAATTATAACAATAAAGTTAAAATTAAAATAACAGTAAAAGTAGAATAATAATTGGAATTACAATTAATGGCTGATGGATACTAATCATTTATGATAATAATGAAAATTGACAATGACCAAAAGTAACAAGTAAAACTATTGCTTGTCGATATTGATTACACATAATTAAAAGCAATTTCCGTCATTTGCCATAGTTATTCATAATTGCAAAAATTTTAATTATTTTTAACAATTATTCGTAATGAAAGCGAGGAAAAAAGTTGGAATTCTTCGATCACGGCATTTTTCGCAGAATTTCTTTTTAAATTTAACAATTGCGTCGCACGTGAATAAGGATCAAAATTTTACGAATGATTTTTTCCTCGATGAAATTTTTAAAATAACTCTTATTTTTGGTCTCTGGCAGTTCAGGTGTCGGAACTGCCTTTGAGTCCACTAGCAGACGAATCCCCCTGCATGAGGAAGAAACAGTATTTGCTTTATATAGACTGGTATCTCTGCCTACCAATTTGTATACCAACGAAGTTAGGTAATCGGTTTAGTGGAAGATTAAGTAATCGAATTCTTCTGCCGTTCGCTAACAAGGAAGCATCCTTGGGTTCACCAGGCTGAACCCTTTCCAAATCAATAATTACCAGACTACATGCGATAGAGGCTTTTCATTAAACCCTTTTTCCATAGCTGATTTCTTTTACATCAAACCAAGGTTTCCCATTGAAAGGTGACAATTTCGTACATTGTTTCAATTCGATTGAATTTTAAATTGAATTAATTAAAAAAAGTAATCATAATACATTTAGAGAAATTAAGTTCAATTTGGTAAAAAAGTTTTTACTATCGTTTTATCTAGCTTTTTTAAAATAATTTTGAATAATAACTCTTTTAGCAATTAGGAAATTATGTTTCATTTACTATCTTTATCGTTACAGGAAAAGATACGATTATCAAGAACTCTCGGAAATGTGAAATAACGAGTCCATTATGACTTTATTTAACAGAAAAGATACGATTGTGTGACTTTGTGACGAGTTAAAAACGAATGAGCTAAATTCGACGAATATAATATCGTAAGAACATCACCGTAGTCTTTTTCATCCTCGTGTTTAAGGCAGGACAGTTTGAAATTTTGGAAAACTCGATTTTTTTGTCTTAAATAGTAGTCTGAAGTTTTAAAAATAATATACTAAAGGTACCATCCTTTAACTCTTTGGGGCACGCTTGGATTAAAAGTGACCCACCTTTTTGATGCACCGTAATGCATGGTGGGACATTTTTAGTTCCACCTCGAAATATTGCAATAGCTGCATGCGCGTAGGTTTATATTTCGTCTTATTTACATAAAGCAGTTGGTAATACCTTCGACAAATGTTATAAATGTATTCGATTGTGTTGGCAACATTCAACATGCCAGTACAGGTTCATCAATTGTTACAAGCAGTTTATTGCGACAATTTTTTTTTCCTGATTTCATATAAAAAATCGTAAAAGTAAATTAATTTTTATAAAAGTTAGTTCTACACCAATTTTGTTTCGTTTAAAACGCAACAAAATTTCTATATAACGTGGGTCTATTTTATTATCTGAAATCTTGTGCCGCAGAGAGTTAAAGCAAATTATTTTTGGATGTAAGGAGGCCAAAATTGATTCGCGATCTTGCGTGCTGTAACGCATTGGTACATATATGACGATTTGACGTGACAATCTATTAGCATTGAACCGATTCTATAGATAGTGATGTTAGAAAAGTCGAGGAATCGACATTATATATTTGTATTATATTATTTTTGGTCTGTTTTGTATAGATTGACCTAAAATTAAAACGAAATTTTGATAATATTATTTAGCATTTAAGTCCAAAAAAAGTTTATTTAGCGCCATTACAAACGCGAAAATTGCTGTTTATATTGCTGCTGATATGTACAATAAAGGCTTCTCCAGTGTCTTATGAAATATGAGCACCATGAATTTAATTACGAGACCAATAACTGCTGCACTATGCAAAACACTCGACGAAAGAATGATTAAAACACCTAATAGACGATCAATTAACCAGTTAGCTGTGATTGACGACTATACTCGTCATGGAGAAGCGTCAAGATTTTTTGTCACGACGAGCATACTCGTCATGCGTAAAAACTAGTGACCATTGGCTATTTAAATTGTAATTTTTGTGAAAAATAAAACATATTCTCAAATTTCAAGACGTTTAGAATATTTTTAGGCCAGGCCGGAATAAAACAAACAAATAAAAAGTATGAATAATTTGAGATGAACTCATGCGTCTCCGTATGCACCGGCTGAAACAGCTTATCAGTTCGCATAACGAATTTATTTATGCGCGATGATAACGTTTTTTAGATGTCAGCGTAAAAGGGGCAAAAGCAAAAGTCGGAAAGCTGATTTATGATAGGGTTCCTTCAGGGATGGTCCGCCACGGGACAAACGCGTGACGCTGACCAGGCGCTGAGTCCATTGATGGCTGCTGGCCCGAAATTACCTAGCTATTTTTTGACGGTCACTAAAATTCATAGATATCCATAAAAACTAACCAATAAGAGAATAGATGTTAACCAAATAAGTAAATATTAGTAATAAAATTGTCAATTTTATAAAATAAACTCGTCTTTTTGATTCAATATTTTAACAGTGGCACTTACTCTGTGATTGACGAGTATACTCGTCATCGCTCGATTTTCGCGACAGATATAGGTGCGCGCTCTCAAAGGGGGCGCCACAGCTAACTGGTTAAAAACTGTAAAAAAGGTCGAATTGCACATAGATTCAGTATATCAGCCGTGCAATAGACTAAAGTCGAAGCAAAGGGTCATATATACGAGGTAGCTATGACTGATTAACGAAAAATTAAAGACTATGTTTCTGAAAACGTGTGCAAGTTATCTCGAGATCTAATCGACCAATTGCTATGAAATTTTACACACGTCTTTATTATAACATTTATTAGGCATCGACGTTCGATTTTGTTTTAAATGTTAATAATTTCAAAAGTTATTAACAAAAACAACGAAATTTTTCAAAAAAAATTTGGTAGATCAACTATAAATAGCTGCCATTTTGTTAATTTTTAAAAAAATTGAAATATTCGAACGTCAATGCCTGGAGAATATGTTATAGTTTCAAGTTGCTTTTGACTTTTTGATATCACTAACCCCATTTCGCTGGAATTCTGCATACCGAAATGCCATATTGAAAATTTACTTCAGAAAGATGACGTCACAAAGCTAAATACGGGAATTTTTCTTTGAAAATTTAACGTTGTTTTACATAGCTTATAATATGTCGAAACAAGTCACAAAAGTTTATATTAATCAAACGATTACTTTTTCCTCTCTCCGGTGTTTCTTTAAAGTATCGCTAATTTTTCAACGCGTTAAACTATTCCATCACCTCAATTAAATTTAGGAAACTCAATTGTTGTACATGAACAGGTTCTTTAAAATTAACCAAAATACCACTTTAAATAAAGACCCTATACAGCAAACACCAAGCTTAAAAATCATGTTAATTTATATTTATACTTTACTTTTTGAGAAAAATCGATGATCTTCTCCAATCTCCTTAACACTAAATTTACGGTACTCGTCAATTTGACGGAAGGGTTGCTCCAATTATACGATGGTAACAGATTTAGTTAACTTATATTAAGACTGTTAATATATAATTGTTTTTAAATTAAACTAATCGTTAAAGAAAAAGGCACGTGGTTTCCTTTACCTATCAATTTGACAGGTGTCCTTAGAAATAGATATACAGATAGCGCACGTAAACCTAGTGCCAAGTTCCTTTGCTAATGCAATATCACTGTTATTGAGAGTCCGTTTCTATTATTCACAACTATTGGGTTGTTCGGGAAGTAATTTCGTATTTTCTCAACAGAGGACTTAATTGTATTTTTTCACAGCCAACTTCACACTCCGCACCGCATAATCATTATATATTTCGACAGCTGATATAGCAAGGCTTGCTTGTGAAAAACTTCGATTGATTCTACGCAGTAGTTTTTGGTTGGTACCCTATCAAATATGGAAAGTGAAAAACAGCATGTTCGGCACATTTTACTTTTTTACTATCGAAAAGGTAAAAATGCTGTTCAAGCGAAAAAAAAATTATCCGATATCTATTCAGATGATGTATTGACAGAACGCCAGTGCCAAAACTGGTTTGCAAAATTTCGATTTGGCAATTTTGACGTTGAAGATGCACCACGTTCTGGAAGGCCAGTCGAAGCTGATTGTATATCGTCAATAGGTCGTCCGCAATTGGCGACGGTTGATGACGAACCAAATTTCTTGAGAAACGTTGTGCTTTTAGTGGACTGTTCGTTACTTTATGGCTCCGAAAGTCGCGACATCGCACATGGCCTGGTCCCTTTCTTTGCAGGCCTATTGTCAGCCAAATCCTAAGTGCTGTTGCCTGCTTTCTAACATTAATGGCTAAAGAAAGCCTCGTGTCCGGTGACCCGAGGGAAATAAAGAATTGTTTGAAAATGCATTGAAAATGAAGATAGAAAGAACACGGAACTTGAACTAAAACAGCAATTAGAATCTGGCTGCCAGAAGACCCTAACGGTCTTCTGGGTCTATTCTAATCAAGGGCCGAACAAAATACCGGCACGACATTCCAAGGCTTAACACTGATGAAGACACAATAAAGGCATTAATTGATGCAAACCAGCGAATAACAACTCGTGAGATCGCTGAGAGATTAAATTTATCAAATTCGACCGTTCATGATCTTTTGAAACGCCTAGGTTTAATCTCAAATCTCGATATATGGGTTCCTCGTGTTCTTATAGAAAGAAATTTGTGCCGTCGCGTTGACGCCTGTGATTTGCTTCTCAAAAGTCAAAAAAATGATCCATTTTTGAAGCGCATCGTCACTTGGACGAAATCTGGGTTGTCTACAACAATGTTAAACGCAAGAAATCATGGAGTAAGAAAGATGAACCGACTCAAAGCACTTCGAAAGCCGATATTCATCAAAAAATGGTGATGCTATCTGTTTGGTGGGATTTCAAAGGAATCGTCTTTTTTTTTTTTTAGCTTTTATCAGACAACAGAAGGATCAATTCTGAAGTGTACTGTCATCAGCTGGACAAATCCCCAAAAATTGAATGATTCGCTTGAACAGAAAAGGCCGGAATCGATCAATAGACAAGGTGTAGTGTTCCACCAAGATAATGGAAGACCTCATACAAGTTTGGTAACTCGCCAAAAGCTTTTACAGCTTGGATGAGATATACTGCCACACCCACCATATTCTCCAGATCTGGCACCTTCTGATTGTTATTTGTTCCGATCTCTACAAAATCTTGTTGACGGTAAAACCTTTACATCAAATGAGGAGGTCAAAAATCCAAGTAAAGAACAAAAATTTTATGAGCGTGGAATCATGCTACTGCTAGAAAAATGGAAAAAGGTATTGGACCAGAATGCACAATATGTCATTCAATAAAATATTTATTCACTATAAGAAAATCGTTTTTCATTTTCATAAAAAGGAACGAAATTATTTGCCAAACGATGCAATATAATATATTATAAACATCGTGAAAATAATATAAAATATTTATTATATTATAGAGATGAAGCATGATTCAAAAGATGATTAAACTATAGTGTATCGAATGTTCTACAGCTACCGAATTTTTTCGAATGAGATAAATATGTCCCTAATATAAACATTATTATATTATTATAATAATAAATATTCTTTAATATATTCGCTAATATTAACAAATAGACGGTGGCGATATTTGTTAATATCGTCATATTCCCATAAAGTGGCATAGATTTTACGCGAACATAAATATCGCGAAAGAATTAAATTTACAGATATGGAAAATTATTGTTACAGAGTCTTAAAGTGACAGATAATTGACGTATTCATTTTCGGAAAGTTATGGCGGCAATTTGTCAATGCTCGAACAAGCTGTAACTTCTTTATTGCATTTTAAAAGGCTATAAAACATTGCAACAGGCATTAATATTATTCTATTGTGACGTCTTGATTGCATAAGGATAAAGTCATTATATGCAGAGAGATAACGAGAGATATATTAGTCGAACAAATCGTAGATACGTGTTAAATGATTGAATAACCAAAAATGAAGTAATCATTATTCTTCAACGGACTGAGTGGCGTTAAAATGCTTGGCGTAATCAGCGTACTGACACTTTCCCCTCTACCGTAACTAGCGATCAGCCTTCTACGGTCTTCCTATTTACACCTTCATTTGCATCCACGTGTTAATCTATTTTCTCTCCTCTGTAAGTAAAAAATCTCGATGCAACGAAACAATTTAACGCGATAAAAATATTTCTACACTACACTCGAACTACACTGAGTCACAAAATTATTGGCACACGCAGAAAGTGATAAGAATATGAAGGATAAAAAAGTAATGACAAATTTCTCAAGCCTTTTATTCGAGTTTTACATAAAGTTTAAACCACAAATGCACAATACTATGAAAAAAATGTCATTTCATGTAGGTATAAAAAATATGAAATGAAACGCTCCCATGCATTAATTGGTGTCGCAATATTATTGCCACACGTTACAAAAATTAATGATTTTAACAATGTTAATGTTTTGTAGATGTGAGTGTTGATTTTATATGTGTGAATGCGAATGAGGTTGAATAAGTGAACCTCATTTGCGATGATATAAATATAATATGTGCGAGTGCAGTCTAGCATGAATGATATTTAAAGAAATATTTAGAAGAATATGCCAGAATAAAACAATTATGTGAGAATCGTCAAAGAGGAAACATGGGTATGCAATGGTTAATAAGAGTGAGAGCGAAAGAAGAATTTTCTAGAAAGCGTCAATCAATTTTTCGTTTAAAATAGTTTATCGCGAGTTGTTTTCATTATTTAAATATTTTTATCTAAATATACCGATGTGTTAACTGTTAAAAAACGTAGAAGATATTGGCGTGTATTTTCTATCCACAGTCTCGCCCGCGTCCTTGCACCCTTATTAAAACCTTACACTCCGTCTCCTTTCATACTCGAGGCTCTCTTCCTCCATTACGAATTTTCCACTCATCCTCGCCCTTGATGGGCTAGGTACTTCAAACACTCGGAACGCATTCCTAAACTTTTGCGTTCCTAAATTTTCGCGTTGCTCGCACTCGACTCTGTTGTCGCGGACAGGACACGAATTGTCCAAAAAGATATTGTATCAGCGTGAAATGCTAACAGTTAACATTGCCAATTACTTGCTTCTTATCATAGTATATATACAAAAAAAATTCTTGGCGGTGATAGAATACAATAATGGAAAGTCTGGAATCGACAGAAGCGATCAGATGATCGCACATGCAACAAATACCCAAAAAAGCATAAAGTGGTACCGCAATTTGACAATACATTTATTAATAAGAACCATAATAAATGCACGTGTCGTCTATCAAAAAGTAACGAATGGAAAAATGAAAATAAGGAAATTCCGGGAGCATATAGTGAAAGAATGGTTATATCCGGAAAATGATAGGCCCTCCAATGAAAAGAAGGAACCAAAAAAGGTGTTGCGACCTTAGGACCGCATATCCCAAGTTAAATGGGAGACTCCTTTATGTCCTTATTGCGAGTGTTGGGTTTTATATGTGTGAATGCGAATGAGCTTGAACAAGTGAAACTCATTTGCGATGATATATATACATATGCGAGTGCAACTTAGTATGAATGATGTTTGAAAAAATGTTTAGAAAAATGTGCCAAAATAAAACAGTAATGTGAGAATCGTCAAAGAGGAAACATGAGTATGGAATGGTTAATAAGAGTGAGAGAGAGAGAGAAAAATTTTCTAGAAAGTGTTAATCAATTTTTCGTTTAAAATAGTTTATCGCGAGTTGTTATCATTATTTAAATATTTCTATCTGTTAGAAAACATAGAAAATATTGGTGTCTACAGTAAAGTAGCCTTTTTGTTTTATCACTTCGGAAAGTCGCTTTGGCATTGACACTATAAGATTTTTTAAATATTCTCCTCTATACCATGCCATTCTTCCTTTGATCTACTTTGCAATTCCGCTTTATTAGTTATTGAATGTTTCCGTATTTTTTTATCTAAACTGTCCCATATCATCTCAATGAGATTTAAATGGGGTGACAGAGGTGGTGTATTTATGATCTTTGGACAGTGGTATAGCAACCACTCTTCGAGTAGTTTTCGATTTGTGTTTCGGGTCATTTTGACATAACTGGAATTTTTCAAGAATTCCTAACTTTTGGGCACTTTGCTTTAAATTATTGTGTAATATGCTTAAGTATCCCATTTTATTTATTGTTAAATATAATTGATGCATCTCCAAGCCATAACATGACCACTACCGTATTTGATTGTTGAGCTAATATTTTTACGATCCATTTCTTCGTTCGGTTTTCGCCATACTTTCGTATGACATCAGACCCCCAAATATTGAATTTACTCTCGTCACAAAATATAACATCTCTCCAAAATTTTCCAGATTTTAAAATAAATTTTTTTGCAAAATCCAAACTTCTTTTCGATTTACTGCAGTAACGTATGGTTTCCTTCTAGGTATGCGTCCATTATTGTATAAATTCTTCCGCGATATTCTACGGACTGTTTCATTAGAAACAGTTTTATTACAAAATTGCTGGAGCTCGACATTAATTTGTGGAGCACTTATTCTTGGATTTTGTTTCACATTTCGAACAATGAAAGGTTCTTTTGATGAGTTTAAAACTGTTTTCCTCCCACGTCCAGTTGCATTTTCAATTCTACCTTCACCTTCAAAATTTTTAATAATATTTAGGACGGTTGAAAAATTTTGTTTACGATATTTCCAATTTCTTTATATAATTTTTCATTTTTCCAGTGATGAATTAATAAATTTCTTATATCTAAGTTAGTTTCTTTACCTTTTCTTGTCATAGTAGAACGTGTATTCAAATATTTCTTTTATTAGACTTTAATTCTTCACTTGGGTCTTAACTGACTATTATAACATTTTATAATGAGCCTGAATAACAGTGAAGAAAAGAACAGAATATCGAAATAGGTAGATTCAACTGTTCTTCGTGGAATATATTAAGTGTGCCAATAATTTTGCAACAGCAATTGATGCATGGAATTGTTTCGTTTCACTTTTTATAACTATAATTACGATATTATTAATTTTTTCATAATGTTGGGAACTTACGGTTTAAACGTTATGTTTTATAAAGCAAAAAGGGATTAAGAAATATTTGATTATTTCCTTTACCTTTCATATTCTTATCAATTTCTGCATAAGCGAAAAATTTTGTGATTCGCTGTATACTAATCTTTTCTTAATGGCGCTAAACGATGGATTATTTTTTTAAATTTAAAACCATACCATTAATTATTTATATATTATATCGTATATTCTAGATATTATTAACCCTTTGCACTCGATGATTTTTTGGCTAAAGATGATGTAGGAGTTCAAAGATTTTCTGTTATAAAGCTGGTGATATTTCTTTCAGCAGTAAATAAGAAACCGTATAGTAATTAACACGTAGAATTATTCGATTTCGATAGCTCGCACACCGTTACATTATCTTAAATTTGATGTATTAATTGATATCGATCTTCGAATTTTTATCTAATGGCGACTGAAGGTCGCCTCTCGAGTGCAAAAGGTTAATATATATCATATTATATCGATATTTTAATTAATATTAAATGATTTATTATTAAATATATTAAGATATTGCATATTTGATGTACAATACAAAATTATATAATTTATATAAATAAATTATATATAAACCACATTGCAATAAATAATAGTTTGCAATATTTCTACGGTGTGGAAAATATCGTAAGAGAGGATATAGCAAAAATGAAAATAATTCTTCCATTAATGAAAACTTTTAATGCTTAATCTGATTATCAATGTGTTAGTACTGTCTATAAATTGATTTTACTGAAAAAATAACTTTATGAAAACTATACATTTGTTTTACTATTCAAAAATATTTCCATCACCTAATAAAGCAGTGAAAATTGTTTAATTTCAACATCTCAAAGTGTCAAACTACGCTACAAGATTTTATATTATACTAAATAGTTAATATCACCTATAGTATATAATAGAAACATAAATTTTAATAACAAATATCTTAAAAACCAGCTTAATAACCAATGTGTGCTCGATCATCTGAAAAGTCAATGCAAGTATAATATTGTAATATTTTCAT